CTGTGAACTGTGTCGCTGTAAGTTGAGGTCCCCTTAAGACATCTCTGGTTGGTGACCTGGCTGACAGTTGATGACCTGCCTTGTGATTGGTTGCTGTGCTGAGATAGCCTAGCTCTCTCTATATAGAGGAAGACCTGGCAGCAGACTAGACTTGAAGGACTGCTAGTGTCTCACAACTCTCTCTCATGGGAGTGAGTTGCACTGAGCCATTTGTACTGCTTTATAATTTAACTGTTCATTTCTTGTATTATATATTTTTCTGTATATAATTTAACAGTTCGTTTCTTGTGTTATATATCAAATTATCTTTATAAATAAATATATTAAATTATCAGCAATTTGTTTTTATCTCTCTAGAGAACCCTGTCTAACACAATCACTTATACAAAAAGACAAGGAAAGGCAAATACATAGAAACCAAAGTTAATAATTAAGTGGTCAGCAGCAGCTAGATAAAGAGATTAAAGGGGAATTGAATGGCAAGGGTAAAAAATCACATTGATTAGGGGTAGGATTACACAACTGATTGTTGCAATTGCTGCTGTAAATTGTAAAAAGCTATTTATTAGTTGGATTTACAACAGTGACAAAAATAAGTAGCCTCTTTTGTAAAACTCCAAGATTCAAAGGATTGGCTTTCTTAGTTTGGAGGCTCAAGAGGTCATGATTTCATGGAACATCCTATTTAATGGGCCTAATAACCTATTGTCTGCCTCCTACATTTGATGTTCAGTACCTAGGTTCTTCAAAGCTTCTCAGTGGTCAACCAAGGCACAATTGGTTTCTATTTGCCTGGAACATCAGAGGAAGGAGAGTTAGGATGGCAATGTGTGGCCTAATTATCTCCATGAACAATTGCTTCTTTTGCCATGAGACCTGATAAATTGAATGGTGCCCAGTTACCATTACTGAACATTTTGTTCATGATTCTATAGAAGATTCCTGATCAAAATGAGATAAATGTAGAAAACAATTTTAAATTCTCATGGAGTTTTTAGACTTCCTAGAGCCATGAAGGTTGGTGAAGTTCTGAAACTACTGCCCTGGGGTAATTTTTTAAATTTACTACTCCAAAAATATCTCCTGAAGTCTTCCTAAAACCAAACAATAGTATAGCTTAATTAATAAAAATCTGTCTGATTTGAACATTGTGCTCTTTTAAGAACTAGCTATGTAAGATCAAATTGATAACTTGCAAGTTGAGAGACTAGATAGGAACCGTGCAGTGAGTAAGATTAATAAGGAAACTACAGGGTGAGTGATTTTATGTTAATGGGTGAGGAATAACTGAGAAAAGGAGATTGAGATCAGTTATCTTGCTTTAAGAATGTTATTCCTTTCACTAACTGGTACATTTTTTAAAAAGTAAATACCAGCTCACCTCAACCAGGATGACTATTATGAGAAAAAGAGAATATAACAAATGTTAGTGAAGATGTGGAGAAATAAAAAGGCACAGCAGCTGTGGAAAGGATTTTTGGGTCCTTAAAAAAATAAAACAGGGAACTACCATATGACTCAGCAATCCCACATCAAGGTATATCCTAAAGAGACTTGAAAACATGAGGTCAAACAGATACTTGTATATTACTGTTCACTGTACCATGAGTCACAATGGTCAATAGGTAGAGGAATTTCAAACAGATGAATAAAATGGCATATACATCCACTTAAACTGTTATTTTACTATTATTTACATAAAAAGAAATAAAATTCTGATATATGTTGCAATATGAATGAATCTAGAAAACATTTTGCTGAATGAAATAAATCAGACACAAAAGGATCAATATTGTACAATCCCATTTATATGAAATATCTAGAATAGGCAAATGCATAGAGATCAAAGTATATTAGTGGTTAAAACAAGGGTACTTGTCAGAGGTAATGGGAAATTAAAGAGCACTGAATTTCTATTAAGGATAATTGGGAGAAAATTGGAAATGGATAGTGGTAATGATAGTGCTGCATGGTTAAAGTAATTAGTGTCATTGAATTGTACAAATAAAACGGATTTAAACGGCAAATGATTTTTGATAAACTTACCACAAAAGTAAATGTTACTGTAATAAATAAATAATCTGTGTATGCATGTTCCACCATAGGCATTGCTGGTTGAAGAGAAATCCTGGAAGCCAGGAGCCTCAAATAGGAAAAAGACAGTGCTAACTACACAGATCTTTCAGTTACGTGTTCAGTACAACTAGGCAGCATGTGACTTGCACTACTTTTTCAGCCTATACTATCCTGTTAAAAGGTTCAATTTCTGGCAGGGAGGGGAGGCAGCAAAGGGAGTGAGACTAAAAGTCAAAATATATATTAAAATATAATGAAGCCATTAAAAGAAAATGAAATAATGGATTGTTATAAGAGCCCCCAATAAAATGATCTTTTAAAGGAAAATGAAATAGCACTCTATAATCACAGTTTTCAATATATTAAGTTTTAGTAATAGAAACAACCAATATTAAAAAGTCCAAGTAACTCAATATAAAATTGAGCAAAGATCTGCATATAAAAATAAACACATAAAGAGAAATTCAGCATCACTGGCCAACAGGTAAATGCATATCAAAACCATAGGACATCACTTCATACTAAAGGGTTCTGGTGGTGTGGTTTATACATTGAGCTGCTAACCATAAGGCCAGCAGTTTAAAAATGCCGGCTGTCCTACCGAAGCAAAGATGACAGTGTCTCTTCCCATAGAGATTGACAGCCTTGTATTCAAACAAGCAGCCATCTAAGTGAGGCGTCAACTGAGTCCATATGGAAGAAGCACACCAGCTGGTGTGATCCAAAGATGACAATAACAAAATCCAAATATGATGAAGGAAAAAGTATCAAAGCTTAAATTGTGAACACCCAATTTGTACAAAGCTATGGAAGGCAGTGGGACCCAAAATTCCTCTGCAAAGTGGTCAGATTAGACCTTTGGCAGATCCCTACTAGTCAAAGTGAGGGTCTCAAACAGATTTACTCAGACAGAGCTTATTGAAACTTGATTACGGTGAATCGAACCATGGTAGAAAATGATACTTGGTCAGTTGACCTGTCTCTTAATCCAACCTGAATTTTTTCTATGCTCAAATATTTCTCAATTGTTCCAAGAAAGAAATATTTTCTCTGGTTTTTTTAAACATTGTTGATCTTTTCTTTCTTGCTCTTTATTTTTATCTTTATATTACTATTATAGTTTTCTTCCTTCTGTTTCATTTTGGTTTCATTTTTTATTGTTTCTGTTAGCTTTCTCCATCAAGGAAGCAGAGAAGGAGTGGATGCACAGAGACAATAACTGATACAACAGATTATCAGGAAGAGGGGAAGGGGAGGGGGAGGGAAATGGGGAGCAATCAGAGGAGGCGGGAGGGGACAGAGAGCATTAGAGCTGATTGTGATGATACATACACAACACTTTTTAGAAGCAATTTAACTATGGAAACATGTAATATGCGGATATTATATCAAGAAAACTACTTAAAAAAAGAAAAAGAAACCAAACTTAACCTATGCTCACCATTAGTGAAGGAGGAAGAGCGTTTGCCTAGAGTCACTGAGTCCACGTTAATGGTGATGGGACAATTTGGCAAGGGCTAACAATAATGGTTGTACAACACAAAGCGCATAATCAATGGCACTGAAGTATGCATATAGAAGTTGTTCAATTGGTGAATGTTTTGTTGTGTATATTTTTGCCAAAATGCGGGGGGGTGGGGTGGGGGGGGTGGTAAATTACATGAATAACAGTGAGCATGGGGAAAAAGAAAATATTCTAAAACTGATTGTGGCAAAGATTGTTACAACTCTTTTTGATATGTTGCACTACTCAAATGTATATGTGGATGAAATGTCAATTAAACTGCTTTTAAAAAAATAAAAAAGATGTACAGCTCTCCCCCCCCCCCTCCCCCCAGGTAGCAGTTCTAGTCTATACCATAGGGTGGGTGTAAGTTAGAATTGACTGGACAGCAGCTGGTTTGGTCACCCCCATTGGAATGGCTAAAATAAAAAAAGGCAGATGAAAGTGGGTGTCAGGGCAAATAAAAAAACACTGGAACCACTTACTATGCTAGTCAAAATGCAAAATAATAAAACTGTTTGGGAAAGCAACCTTGCAATTACTCAAAAGGGTGAACACTTAAAATTACCATATGATCCAACAATTCTACTTATAGGTATGTATTCAAGATAAATAACACACGTTTGTGCAAAAAAAGTTGCATATGAATGGTCACAGAAGCACTGTGTTTAATATGCAAAAAACGGAAGCCACACCAATGTGGTAAACCCATACAAATATTATGTCTGAGGTGATAAAAACACTCTAAAGTTAATTATGGTGGCTATATAACTCAAAGAATATGAACATACTAAACACCACTGAGCTGCATAAATGTGTAAAATGTAATGTACATGGATTATAGCTCAATTAAAGCTTTAATTTAAAAAATGTTGAGCTGTACATTCAACATAGCATGCATATATTTTTGTTCTTTCTGAAAAGTTTCTGTGTGTGTATGCGTGTGCAAGCACATACACCCATTTAGATGCTTATTGTGTATATAAAACATTTCTAGATATACTTAAAAAAAACTGTTACACTAACCACTAGAAGTGGGACAGACTAACAGGCTAGAAAGCAGAGAAGAATAGAGCTTTCTCATTTCATGCCTCTCAGGAGCTGTCTTTTGATGCAGGCAGTACATATCTAAAAAATATCTGCTGGAGTGTTTGTGTGCATCTGCACACATGAATACATGGAAAAATATATGTATGTGAAGAAATTAAAAATTAAAGGACAGTGGTAATGATTACTTAAACCGGGTGGTAGTTTTATGAGTATTAATTTTATAATTCATTCTACTTTTCTGTTTCCATGTTTTTTAATAGTGAATTAATACAAGTTTTATGAATGACTGAATATTTCATTTGAAATACTAATTCAATTTCATGAGCAAAAAATATCTGGCAATATTATAGGGGGAAAAAATAAAATTTACCCTTTTGAATTTGTACTTCTTCCCCTTTGGTTACACTGGGAAACTCCTGATGAGCACTAGGCCTTTTGGTCCGTAAAATCCGGTTAAGATTTGGTTTAGGCTTCGGAAATCTGTTTCTTATTCTCAAATTATTGGTCACTTTAGAAATTGTATTCCTAGAAAAAGACACATAAAAAGGAAGCAAAATGTACCCATCATGTAAGACTCTCTTTCTCTCCCTAGGATTTCTATAGTGTCTTTCATTGTACAAGTAACAAACCATACTTGTCTGCAAATGTTAATTTCTTAATGCTAAAATCACAAAGTAGTAGTTTTACTATTTAAGCAGGAAAGAGATTCTGGACTCTTTTTCGTGTGTTTGTAAGACACAGACCAAATTTACATAAAAGTACTTCATTACAGGTTAAAAAACAGACATACTGTTATACTTTTGTTATGCAAGTCATTAAAGTAAAAATTAGCCAATCCTTTTTTAAAGGTAAGAAATCAAAATTGTCTACTTTATAAGCATTTCTCGAGGTACTAACCAAATTAATGGCTGGGAAAATTATCCTTATTACTTGAATACTATGGTTTATATACATGACTTTTATATTATTTAAAAGAAATAATTATTTAATAAAACAAAACCAACCTGGTTGGTGTAGCATTTTCCTTTATTTTCTCAAGTAAACCAACTTCTTCACTAGTATTTTGTTCCTCCACTATAATTGTCTTTTCTTCATATGGTGCAGGAGATAGACTAATGACAGGCGAAGAAAGCTCCGGACAGTCATGAATGATATTGTGCTTTACATGATCTGGACTGGAATGAATATAGCTGTTGTCTTTTGAATGAACATCAGGAATATCAGGTACTAGTCCTAGTATAAAAAAGAAAAAGAAAATTGAAATTAACCCACTGATGTCCAGACAGAATGATTTCTTCAACATTTTATAATTTCTGTATTATTATTATTTTTTTCATGCTGTATTATATTAGAGAAGAAAGGCCTGATGATCAGCTAAGGAATAGCAATGTTCTGGCTCCATTCTTCATAGTTTGCTTTCAGCACGGCAAAGACTCAACAACAACCTTAATATTCAGATTTGCTCTTTGGGGCTCCAAATGTAAATACATAATTTCATATTTTATGATAGGGATTTGATCTGTGTGGGCATAAAACTTCTTATGGACTAAAACATGAGTTATATGTAAAAATGAGGTTATTATTTTCAGCAACTACATAACCTTAGATGAGTTTGAAGACAGGACTGTTTTTGTTTATTTTTTTTAAGCCTGTATTTTATGTTCTAAAAATGTGTAACAAGCTCTACTATTGAGACAAGAGCCCTAGATGGAAAATAAAAGACTCCCTGATAAATATAGTTATATGGACTCAAGGGCACCTACAACAACAGCCTAAAAAGTCAAAGGTTTCTCAGAATGAATGGCAAGCCACTATCAGCCATCAAAATAATAACAAAGAATACAATTCGCATAATTATCCATTTAATGCACCCTATTTTCTAATAAACATGCACACAACACATGTAGCACATAGGAAACTAATATTCAAGGGGTTGCATGTTTTTTTTAACATCAGTAAAGCATTGTTTATATTAAAATATAGTACTTAAAGTATATGATAATTAGTAAAGAACATAAACTAATCTATAACCTAATAGAATAAAAGTATGGTTGAATTGTAGCTTTCGGCTCTGCCCAAACTACTATTAACATTTTATATTAAATTACTTCACGAAGTGTTTAACTATATTGCCCTTTCACGCTGCATGTAACTATTATGCAAATATAAAGGCCATCCAAACAGCAGCCCTTTGTGAGTGAGTGAGTATACCTGAAGGGTTCAGGAAGTTAGTAAATGCATTAATGCACACATACTACCTTTTCTAGAAAAACAAAATGATGCCAAGTTCAAATGGAAAGGATAGGTATTCACTTAATATTCAAGTATGTCATTTTTTTAAACTTTATTTTAAGAATTATCTTTTATTCTTACCATCATCCTGCTCAGTACTGATCTCTGACTGCAACACAAGATCTCCCATTGTAAGTAAGGTTATAGCAGCTTCAGTGCTTCCATCAGTGGAACCTTGGAAGAAAATATACCAGCCTTAAAACATAAAATGAATCCAGAAGTTTAAATGTACTTACATACTGAAAACATATATTTCTAATTCAGGTATTTATCATCAGTGGTGGCTTTTATTCATTAAAAATGCCTCCCCACTCCACCCCCAATTAAATAACTTAATACTTCAAATAGTTTCAGCTGTGCATAAAAGCAAACTAAACCCTCGATTAATACTTTACTTAATGTCTAACTCTTGAGTCAACTCCTAAAGCATCCATAATTTCTCTGCAAATAATCTACTCAATAGTTTCATCTTTATTCCACACTAGCAAGCATTCTGACTTACTAGCACAGCTACTGATCATTATGCTAACATTAATCAAGAAGTTTTAGTACTTTCCTTGTTAATAATTACCTGCTTCATCTTGAGCCTGCTCCCCCATGGTCATTTCCTAAGGAATAAAAAAGACACATGACAGACACATGACATCTACTGTTTTCCAAATGCATTTCAGATAGCACTCCAGCTCACAGCTCTCTCTATGCATTGAAGGAAATCACTCCAGCTCACAGCTCTCTCTATGCATTGAAGGAAATCACTCCAGCTCACAGTTCTCTCTATGCATTGAAGGAAATCACTCCAGCTCACAGCTCTCTCTATGCATTGAAGGAAATCAAACGCACTCCCGTCAAGTTCATTCCAACTCATGGGGATCCTATGAGTTTCCAGCGGTTTCAGGGCTGTAAATCTTTGTGGAAGTGCATAGCCTCACCTTCTTCCCAAATTAATTACAGTTCTAATTATTTATTTCCTTAACGTATCATTATTTATATAGCTGATAAGCAGAGAACTACTAAAAGGCAATTCTTTTTCATTCAACCACCTCTACATAGTATGTAAAACTTCATGAGAATTATAATCGTTTTCCCTCCTTGTCTCAGTGGTTCCTCCATTAACATAAACAATCACCTATAGCAGGTGCGTCAAATTCAATTAAAACGCAGGCCATTTGGTCTAACAGGCGAGTTTCATGCAGGCTACATCACATTTACAAATTTTGTTACATTTATATTTTGAAGTAAGGATTCAGGAATGTGGATAGGATAATTAAGACACTATATAATTGCTTTTATTAAACATTTATTTTATTTAATGTATTTATAAAACTAAAATTATTCTTTTTTACACGAAATTTGCCAATGCTTTCCTCCTACTAGTTTACACTTACCTCTTATGTTGTGACCGGAAAATATAACAAAGTAACTAATAAAAAACACAAAATGTTGGACAGCTGACAAACATGATGCACAATCGTAATGGCTTCCCTCTAAAAATGTTAACTAGCGCTGCCACTAGATCTGATTCATAATAGCACAGCCCAGAGCGCTCTGTTTAACCTTTTCGCTATTGGGATCTGTTCACATTACGTGACACTGAGAGTGGCAGACATATCGCTTTTAAATGTCGCTAGAACTGAGTCAGTGTTTATACACATCCACAGGCCCCCAGGAAAGACCCTGGGCCATGTGTATACTTGTCTTCAGTAGTAAAAGGGTTAACGAGGGAGTTGTGTGTACGGTATTGCCTCTATCTCCCCTAAGCGCTATTTTCTTCATAGCAATGTTTTCTATTTTCATTTAATTCCAGAGCATTGTGGGCCACAAAAAATTACCTCAGGGGCTGCCAGTTTGACATCCCTGACCTAAAGTTCCTATCTAATTTTCAAGTTGCTGCTATCAAAATGATCCCATATAGCTACTTCCTAAAAGAACAAATTGCTCAAGAGACACTTTTCTGCAGATAAAATAAACTACTGTTCGGTTCTAAGACTTTCTGGAATATTAAGAAGTCTGGAGTACATAGAAAGGTGAAAGTCTATTCCGTATTTTTGCCTTCTTGATCAAGAGTCTCCTATAGAATGTTTGAACAAAGTACTCAGTAATGGTAGCTGAGCCCCATCTTAGTTCTTCTGGTCTCCTGGCAAATGGGGCAATTGTTCAAGGAGAAAATTAGCTATACAGTCTACAACCTCCACCTATTCTGGACACTTCCTCACGTTCTCTTGCTCCAGGAAACTACCACAACTTGCTGTTGTATTGGAGAACCACTTGCAAATTTCTAAGACCTAGGCACTACCCCAAAAACTAAGAGACAGCAAATACTACTAAAAAAGTCAAATCCATGCCATAAAGTCAATTTTGACTGAGAACTAAGTATATTATTTTATCCTAAAAACCATTGAACCCTATATATGCTTTAAGTGAATTAAATATATAGGACCTGAAGTATATTTCAATAGAGCTGATTTTAAAAAGTTACAAGCTATAAATTATTTCAAGTCCTCACTGGCAAAAACAAGATATATACCAAATAGGAAAGAACATAAAATTCAAAGTTTTACAACATTTGATTTATTATAAATTTAACACAACAGAATTTAGCAGAAGCTTATAAGTATAGTAAAACACACACACACACACACACACACACACACATGCAAAACAAACACACACACACACATTTTCCAGGCCAAATACTAAAACTATGGGTTATTTACTAGTTTCAACTGTGCATACTTGTAGCTCCCTCATAAAAGAAATTAAGATCTGTGTGTAAACTTAAGCCTATCAAAGTAAGTCCCCAATGTTTGGTGAGTAAATAACAAATAAAAAACATAGCTGGATGCTTACTAATGGTAACACATTCACATTTTCTTCTGGCTTCATCTCCTGAATAGAACCATCTGTCGTGAAGAGCGGAGGTTCAACAGCAGCGGTGTATGTGGTATCTGGGACATCCACCATGATTTCAAGCTGTCACATGGAAGGTTTTATTATTTCATTTTGAGTACGATAAGCAGCAAAACCCAAACCTCTATTTCTCACATAAGTATGTATACAACAAAATGTTAAACTGAAAATGCAATCCACAGTAAGAAACTCAAACACAGTGATTCTTAAGCTGACAGATGGCAACTTGGCAAAAGTAATACACTTAGACTTTTTGAAGATTCTGTCATTATTATAACCAAAAAAGCAAAATTTTGCAAAATCAATCATCTTAATGCTTGACATTCCAGTAGGCCCCCAACAAATCAGGTTTGCTAGATGTTATTCAGAGAATGACCTATTCAGATACTAACAATAACTAAGATAAGAAATAATGAGCTACAAAGAAAAGGTAGAAAAACCAAGGAAGATCTGTGCCAAGGATTCAAAAGAAGCGGTAACAAAAGCAAACACTCTACCTCTTCCATTGTTTCCTCAATCTGAGTAGCAACAGGTTCAGGAGACCTGAGACCCAGGGGTACAAAGACCGGAGCCTTGTTTAGTTCTTCTGGAGCAAGATGATAACTTTCTTCTTCATAGTCAGATGCATAATCTTCAGCATCATCTTCCTCTTCTTCCTGGGAAGCCCGAAGAGTTACCAGCACAGCCTTGGAAGGTCGAGGTTCCTTCTTAGAGCTCTTGCCCCGATTTCGCTTTGACCCACGCCCTTTGGTGACATTTGGTTTGCTCTTTCGCTGTATTCTCTTTTCACCATGATCTAGATCACATTCAGAGGCAGAAGGGACAGCCGATCTTCTATCCAGTGCAGTTCTGGAGTAATGCGATTCTTTTAACAGCTGTGGACAGCTGGATGGGTTTAATCAAAACAACAATATGGCCACTATACGTGCAAGGGCAATTTCTATAGAAAAATCAAACCTTTAGAGTAAAATCCTACTTCGAGCCATTTAAAAAAAACTCCCTCTACCCATTATTTCAAAACATTATGTTCTGAAGAGTAATTACTACTTCTTATTCTGTTCTGTGTTATTTACCTAAAATTATTTCATAGCAAATCCTTAACTGGGGGTTCCTTTTTTTTCTCTCTATTTATGACTGGAAACAAAGGGAAGAAAGTGGGCTTATGGATACTGAATCAATAGATGTACTGATCAAAAGTGACAGTGGGTTTTGCTTCTGGGTAAGTAGATTAGGTTAAAAGAAAAGGGGGCAATTTTCGAATTCTGGTGGGTGAGTAAGCATGTACCAAGCATGTACCCCACAAGCGTGACTCCACCATGTTGCATCAAAGAACCAGACACAAAAAGACAGAAGTTGTTTGATACTACTCATATGAAATATCAGAAGTGGCAAATGCATAGAGACAAAAAGGATACTAGTAGTTACCAGGAGCAAATGAAAGAGGGGACTATTGTGTTGGGAAGGATAAAAAGGTTTGGAAATAGGAAATAAATAGTGGTGAGGACTACATAACAATGTGAATGTAATTAGTGTCTCTAAATTTCATACTTACAAATGGTTTAGAACGGCAAAATGTATTATATGCACAGACACACATACACAAGCATATTAATGCATATGTAGATAAATATTTTTATTGCATGTGTATATAAAATAGAGAAAATAAAAAGGAGGGCAGAAAAATCCACCAGAGCAATGCTGGTTCCTTTCCTATTTCCTGGAAAACAATAGAGGAAGGGTGCTTTTCGTGTGTGTGTGTGTGTGTGTGTGTGTGTGTGTGTGTGTGTGTCTCCATATGAATTAGCACTTTAATTATTTAGGTAATATACACTACACCAGCGGTTCACAGTCAGGGGGTCAACCGACCCTTACACAGGGGTCACCTAAGATCATCAGAAAACACATAAATATTTCACAATATATAATTACATATTGTTTTTGTGATAAATCACTATGCTTTAATTATGTTCAATTTGTAACAATGAAAATACATCTTGCATATCAGATTATTTACATGATGATTCATAACAGTAGTAAAATTACAGTTATGAAATAGCAACTAAAATAATTTTATGGTTGGGGGGATAGGGGGTGACCACAACATGAGGAACTGTATGAAAGGGTCACGGCAGTAGGAAGGTTGAGGACCACTGCACTACACCTTGGTCAGGCTTCTACTATTATTTACTATACCCAACACTCAGAAATCTTAAACTAAGAGACGCATTCCTACTAGATCAAGGAAAGTACAAGCGTTAGGAAACAGGAATCAAAACTGGGGAAATACAAGCCTGTCAATAAAAACTAGCTTCAGATCTGCTAACACGTCATCTTTTTGGCCTATCACTAAGGCACTCATGAGAACAACTCCTAGTTTGTCCTAGTTTAAAGTCAGTTGTTAAATAAAAATTTACCTTGTCAGTTTACTGAGATGCTGCTCTTCAATTACTAACGATGGAGAATTACCCCCTAGAGTTCGCTTTCCAACACTTCCTGACAGTCCAAATTCTTCAAATTGAGCATCCTTTTTGGCTGAAACTGCCTCTTTGGGTCCTGCGCAATCTTTCCCTGCTGAACTCGCCAGAGATGTCAGAGGCTCAGCCATTTTCTTAAAATTAAAAAGAAACTTATCATCACATGAAAACAATTTCTCTGTTGATTTGGTCTAATAGTTTGGACTAAAACTCTAAGTTTACACTTACCAAACATCGTGTCTCAATTTTTAGAATACTGAAAAGTCACTCAATTACATGAAAAGAGTTACAAGTATAAAAGCCAATGCTATGTATTTTCAATCCTTTCCTTCATGATGTTGGCAAAATAAAGTTTAATTTAAAAAACTATTTTTTCTAAACTTACTTTTGGAAGGTGCTGGATATCAGAATCTCCTTGCTGCAGCACATTATCTTCTGCCTTTCTTGCCTCTTTGTGATTGGCTGTGTCTTTTTCTGTTTCTGGTTCCTTTCTCTTACAGTGTGCACTTCTCAAATTTGGCTTAGGCCTTTGGAAACACCTTCTTACCAATGGGGCTGGGCTAGGAGGATAAGCTTTATGCTGTTCTCTGGAATGAAATACAAATCACGTTCAAAAACGTACATTAAAATTCCTTGTTAAAAAACAAACAATTTTGGGCATAAAACTATGCTGCGTTCAAAGAACTAAATATTGGTTACAAACCACACATGTAAAATGAAATCACGTATCTGATATTATGTGAAAAACATAAAATATTTTGTTTTTCAATTTTCGATATAGCCTTGGGAATTGTTTCATAATATTACTAATATATATTGTTTACTTTTGTTTATTGATTCTGGTGTCTAGTATTCCTTTGAAATAATTTTCAGAGAAACAACTAGGTATGTAAATATGCCAATAATTATAGATGAATTTCATAATGACACTGTGAGTCGAAACCAATTTGATGTCACCCAACAACAAAGACTGTGGGTTACGTATTCAACTGCTAATTACAAAGTCAGTGGTTCAAACCCACCAGCCACTCAATGGGAGAAAGACAAGGCTGCCTGATCCCATGAAGACTTAACAGTTGTAGAAACCCTCTATAGGGTCGGAATGGGTCAGAATTAACTCAATGGCAGTGGGTAGGTGGGTTGGTATAATAAATTACAAATGAAAGCATTGGAAGGTAAATTTTAAGATTATCAATCTGGGTTATAGGAGAAAGTTGAGACTTTCTACTCCTGTTGAGAATTACAGACTGGGAAACCTACAGGAGCAGCTCTACCCTGTCCGATAGGGTAGCTAAGAATCAGAGCCAGTTTGGTGGCAGTGAGTTTGGAGTTGGAGTACAGGTTCCATCACTGAGCCGTTAACTGTCAGGTTGGTGATTCCAACTCGCTAGATGCTGAGTGAGAAAGATGAAGCTGTCTGCTCCTGTAAAAATGTATAATCTCAGAAAAGTTAGGGAGTAGTTCTACTCTATACTGTAGGGCCACTATAAGTCTGACGGTCATAGGTTTTGATTTTGTTCTTTAAAGGCTCAGAGTAAAAAAGAAAATCGTTTCAGTGGTCCTATATAGGTTGCCCTCCACTATCACCAATATTTATATCTCTGAAACCTAGCTTTCTTCTCCTTTCATGGTTACACTGCTGCTGGCCTTCAACCACGTCGGGCATGTTCCTGCTTTAATGCTTTGGAATTACTGCCTCTTCAAGCCCTGAACACCCCCCTTTACTTTCTTCCTACCTTTTCCAGGATTTTTCTAATATACCCACTCCTCGCTTATTAACATGGTTAGGTTCTGAAGGCCAGGTCATTATGCAAAAACAAAGCATGACCAGATCAGATCACAAAATTTCTATCCTAACTGCCAAACCACTGAGAATCATGGCCCAGCCAAGTTGACACAAAATCTTAACCCTCACAGCCAGTGTTTTGCTCTTGCCTAGCGCCATGGTATTTAGTACTGCCATACATAAATTGTTAATGCATGAAGCAGTGGGATCAATTTTTACTATTCTTGTCAATGTAACATGTCAGATAACAAGAGTTAATGTGTGAGGAGTAGGTAACTGTACATTTTCAAGGAAGTATTCTATGACCACTGCAATTTCAAAGTTAAAGCCCTATTCATGACTCTCCTCCTCCAACACACACCTGACTTTATATTTCTTGATAATATTACCATCTGGTGATTTTACTATTAATTTAACTTATTTACTTTATGTAACATGTTTCCCCAGTTAGAATATAACCTCCACAAGGGCAAAATTGGTTGTCTTGTTTAATCTTATGTTGTCAATTCCTGGCACAATGTCGTAGAAACAGGAAACTCTAAAATATTTGTTGAATCCATGAATATAGTTCTTTGCTGGGGTGAAATGCTATACTTTTTAAGAACAAAAGGGATTCAAGTATACATGGAAAGTAAGTCCATAAACAGTCTTTAAAGGGCAAAGAGGTGAAAAAGCTCATCTATAATGCTTGGAGATTAGTGTCTGAGAGTGTTCCTTGAAACAGTAATCAAACAGAGGCTATGCAACAGCATCGACCAACAGTTAACTCCAAGACAGCATTCGTCAAACATCTGTGAGTCTTAGCGGAATGACTTCACTGAAGTAGCCCAAAGAAAGAACGAGAACATGTGATAGCATGGGAATTTGAAGATAATGTAAGGTAAAAACTGGCTTTATACTCTAAAGTTTCCTAATTTTGCAATTATTACTTTATATATATATATATAACTTCTGTAAAAATTTCCAGGACATGGTATAAAATCAACTATGCAAAATTCTAACCTTGATCCTAGGAAAGTTCAGAAGCAAACTCACCTTGTCTTGTCATCTAAATCACTAGTTTTGTTAACATGAAGGTTTTCTGCAAGAACCACGCGGCTCTGATCTCCGTGGCTTCTGTACTCAGGAACTTTGGAGGGTACGACTTCAGCATCAGTTCCAATCTGAGAATCTGCCTGAAGATGACAAAATCTATTAGTTGTACTTTTGTTCTTCTTTTCTCTACGACAGAATATACCTTCTAAAACCCGTCAGTCGTGGGGACAGGTATTTAGTAAGAATCGAGGACGGTGTGCAGTGTTCATGTTTGGCCTCCCAAAAGTAAACTGCTTAGCTTACCGAGAAACTTTCAAGATTTATTCAATGATGTATTTATAAAAAACATTGGCAACTACAACAGCAATCTGTTGTAAAAAAAAAAAAAAAAGGAAAAAAAACACATGCTGGGTTTTTTAAAACAAAGTACTTTTTTTGTTGCTCCAACAAGGAACAGCTAAAAAGGACACTTTTGAGCATTACAGTTCTTTTTTCTTTTTTTTATTTATTTTTTATTTTTTAACATTTTATTAGGGGCTCATAAAACTGTTATCCCAATCCATACACACATCAATTGTGTAAAGCGCATTTGTACATCGTTTCTCAAAAC